AAAATTGAAGTTGATTTTAAAGCAATGGGAGAGTACATAATCGGACCAGGAGATTACGAATCTTCTTCGGGGAAAAAGAGAGGGAGACATGAGGTAAGAGAGATAATTCCCCTGAGGGAAACCGCAGGCGCTAAATTATGCTACCCGCAGTCAATTATAATTAACTGGACGTATTTCTATCAAACGGAACTAAGCGCCAATTTGAGTTCCTTTTGAGGAATTTAGAATCCCGGATAGCGCGTTCTGTCAAACGGACCTAAGCGCCATGGAAAAGCATTGCGAGTATAGGACGGAATAAGCCGGACCCCCGATTCTGCCGCCAATCCAAGTCCCCCTCTACCTTCCTCACCCTATGCGCTTAGATCCGTTTGATAGAAATACGTCCAACTTAGATTTAGATCTCACACTTTTGGCGGAGTAAGTGAACGAGTTGTAACCATGGATTGAAGTAATTCAAATCATATATTCTCCTTACAAATCAATTAAGAACTGAGTACCCACCGAAAATTTTATAACTTTCGACATTCTGGCCGAGATACATGGAACTTTACTTTCGAAAAAATTAACACCGGAAAAAAACACATTGGATTTAGAGTCCAGACTCTTAAAAACATCGACAAGAAAAACTACTCTTGATTCCATCGGATTTTTGCTTAAATCAAGAACCAAACCTCTTAATTTGAGCGGATTTCCTTTTGATGTAAGCAAAAATCTGATTAAATCAAGAGTATTTTTTTCTTGTCAATGTTTTCAAGAGTCTGGACTCTAGATCCAATGTGTGTGTTTTTTTTTTTTTTTTTTTCCCAGTGAACTTATTACAAATTACTCATCCGGCGACCGTTAAACCCTCGGCATAGCTTCAAGGATCGTTCGTCGAAAAATGAACGAGCACAGTGCTACTTATTCTTTGCCGTTGCGAATGTTTTCCCGACTCATTACCTGCGAGTTATGGTACGCCAACATCAGTTCCGTTCTGTTTAGAAGTAATTGCACTTAGTGATCTTTACTGCATGAATTATATACCCATATTCACGCATACGTATTTTCTAAATCAAAGTGAAATCAAAAGGAGCAAAGCTGCTAAGTCAGAACGGCTCCTTGAGTACTTCATCAAGGTCCTATACGTTGCGTTTTCAAGTATGACCTAATAACCAGATTTTAAAAGGACTCCGCGTCACGCACTGAAGTTTTCAACATCACCGTTCCGAAAATTATAAGTTCAACGCTCGTGGAGATGGTCGGATTTAGTCCCGAACTTTCAATTAGCTTGGACCGGAGGTAGAAGAAATTAGTGGCTACTTACAAACTGTACATAACTTCAATTACGAAAAATGTCCACTAGTGGTAATTTTGTTGCCGCAATCTTTAAAAGTGCATTATGAATAATGATATCAGTTTAAATTTACCGGATGATATTCCAGCCACAAATTGAGTCTATAATAGTATTCCACTTTAATATTTCAAATAATTGGGCAAAATTCTGTGGGATTAAGAAAAGAACCGTATGCAAAAACGACATTTTTCGCCCCCCCCACTAAAACTTATTCAAACTTCGTCTGTCAGTTACTAATACTAGAGCGCTTCTTTCCCCAAATTTTCAGACCCCCAAAAAATTTTGGGGGGGCGCTAGGGGGGGTGGAAGTCAAAACCTGTGAACCTCGATATCTTTCGAACGAAACAAGATATTGAGGCCCGGTTTGGACGAAAAATCGTCTAAAATTGCATACTTGAAGATTCTAAAGGTCAAAATCCCAAAATTAAATTTTTAAATTAACTTACGTGCTTTTTTTCAGTTTTTGAGGAAAAACAATTTCTTTTAAACAGATTAAACTGAAATTTTTACATTTTTCGATTTGAACCAAAACCAATTTTTTAAATTGCTCGTCTTTTTCCGCATCCAACGAGTGGTCGTATCAGCTGGGGAACCGAACGGTTCCGGAGTTATGATCGATTGAAGTTTCCGCTCAACGCGCGCCGACCGATTTTCGCGCGCAAAAAAGTCGGATTTGACTGTTATTAAATCAGATTGAATGTTCAAACTGAGCAAAATGCATTATTAGGGACTCTTGAGGGTCGCTGAGTTCAGAAATTACAGATACTTCCAAAAAATCACGTTTTTAAAATTACAGCTCCGTAGCGCTATTTTAGAGGCCCACTGAGCGCCGACCGGCCGCTCAGTGGTCCTGTACGGAACTGTAATTTTGAAAACGTGAATTTTTTGGAAGTATCTGTAATTTCTGAACTCAGCGACCCTCAAGAGTCCCTAATAATGCATTTTGCTCAGTTTGAACATTCAATCTGATTTAATAACAGTCAAATCCGACTTTTTTGCGCGCGAAAATCGGTCGGCGCGCGTTGAGCGGAAACTTCAATCGATCATAACTCCGGAACCGTTCGGTTCCCCAGCTGATACGACCACTCGTTGGATGCGGAAAAAGACGAGCAATTTAAAAAATTGGTTTTGGTTCAAATCGAAAAATGTAAAAATTTCAGTTTAATCTGTTTAAAAGAAATTGTTTTTCCTCAAAAACTGAAAAAAAGCACGTAAGTTAATTTAAAAATTTAATTTTGGGATTTTGACCTTTAGAATCTTCAAGTATGCAATTTTAGACGATTTTTCGTCCAAACCGGGCCTCAATATCTTGTTTCGTTCGAAAGATATCGAGGTTCACAGGTTTTGACTTCCACCCCCCCTAGCGCCCCCCCAAAATTTTTTGGGGGTCTGAAAATTTGGGGAAAGAAGCGCTCCAGTATTAGTAACTGACAGACGAAGTTTGAATAAGTTTTAGTGGGGGGGGCGAAAAATGTCGTTTTTGCATACGGCTCTTTACCTGTTTTTCGCCTCATCTCCAACCATGAAAAGACCAAAAATAAGAGAACAATGACACCCCATAAAATGTCATGGGTGAAAACGAACTGAGAAACAATGCGGGGTTGCGATGTGTTTTTAACTTGGTTTTATCACTGGCTCATTCAGCCTCGAATTATAAAACGATGTTTTTCCGTTTTTGTTTCCTCATGCGGGAACTGTGCTATCCATCTGTCCGTTGGTCAAAAATGATTATTAGAAGTTGAGTTGAGAAGATATGTGTTTTTAGAACAAACATAAGTCAAAACGTTCCTGCTCTTTTGCATATTTGGCGCTTTCAATGGTATTTGTATATTTTTCAGGTGCTCACGGTTTTACTTTTGCAGTGTCCGAAAAACTCAAGAATTCTCTCTTTTTTCAGCATATTGTTCAGATTCCGTTTTTTCTCTTCTTTTTTGGTTCAAGTGAAATGTATAGGAAGTACTGAATGGAGCAACGAAAGCCAATGAACGTGATAATTTATCGCATAGTTAAAACTATGAACTCAAGTTTGATTCGTGCTTGCTAAACTGGACACATCTATGTCAAGAAAATCTATCTACGGAGAAATTAATCGCTTATCGATTTCTTTCACATAAATATGTCCAGGAATACTCTCCTTACCTTCCCTGAAAGAGATGTGAATCGCACAATTCAGAGACCTTGTACAAGTAACAGTTTTCGTTCAAAGGAGAGATGCGTCCATCATGCGTCCATGCATGCATCATCGTAAGTTTGTTGAAGAGAGGGCAAAAGCCTCTGCGCGAATCCTTAAGGAAATTATTGCGTTTGAAAATTCCGTTTTTTCACGAGCCGAAGCTGAAAGTTTCCGACACGCAGAGGTTATTCACCCTGTTGTGCATGATTTGATTTACAAGAGAACGCCTATCCCGATAACTATAAAATCAGTATCATAGGTTAGAAATTATTGTGATGGAAAACTGATGCGAAGAATGGAGGAATAATAGCATGTGTCCCATTTTAATTTACGAGGGGGGCGGGTCGCTCGCTTGGACAGAGAAAAGAGCAGATCGTAAACGAAAATTACAGCCCGCTTTGCGGAATCGTAAGAATAGAAGAGTTGCAAGGTAAAAAGGAAATGGAGGATGGAGGAAGGGGCAAGCTAACAGGAGGAATAAGCAAAGCGAAAATGAAAAAAAAAGGAACAAGGATACCGAACGTGCAAGGGTCACAACGCTTACTAATAAGCTGACAGCTGATTTCCTTTTTACGGGGTTTCTTGAATCCTATTACCATTATGAGTCATACATTCCTCTCCCTCCGGTCTCCCCCCCCCCTTTCCTCTGAAGAAGATTCGTAATCCCCTCCCCCCGTCTCCGACCATGTACTCTCCCATTGCTTTAAAAACAAATTTAATCTCTCGCGTGACAAAATTACACCTTGAGAGTTGAAGAGTTTCAAACTAAATAATTTGACAACATTGCATGCACTATTCCACTTGAAATATTAATAATAAATTTTCAACATTCTATGAAAAGTTCAATATTTTCTCTGAAATTTTCAATGATATGATGCAAATCGAAAATAATCTTAATTCGGTCCGTGAAAAATATAATCGCATACTTTAAAAGAAAATAATGCCTTACTTTTCTCACCTCGCGTTTAAATCTCTGAGACATACCCTCGCTGCAATAGATTTCGATTTACTCTACCGTTCCCAGGATGAAAAAAATATGATACGCCTTTGTTTTTACTGTCCTTATATTGTAATATCAACAAGTTCAATACATAGGGATTTATTTTCAACTAATATTTTACTCTTTTCTTTTTGGCCGCACCTCTGAAATTGTTTGAACTGAACTTAACAGAGAACATGCTGTTTGCAAAGAAAAATTGAGTTGACAACTACAGAGTTAATTATAATTAATCTCCGTTTTGAACATTCAACTGATAACAGTTTACTGAGCCTTTCATTATGCAAAATATTTAAATTTTTATACAAGTCAGAGATTCATGAATACATCAATTATATCGTAGCTTTCACTGATAAGTTACCGCAACCGCAAAAAATTTTAACTGCAATTTGAAAGGAATTTCGTCCATCTTGAGCTTTAAAAAAATAGCGAAAGATAGAAGATAAAAAACTGAGCTTTAATCTTAAAAGCACCAGCGTGGAAACATTTGGACTTACCACAGATGTTGATTTGTTACGATCGGAAAGGAGGAACTTTCATTCGGCGAGGATGTTCATTTTGCGATGATGTGTCGGTAGGGTGCTCTGAGCTGAAACACGAAAAAAATGTGCCTTAGTGAAGAGTAATTTACGAGAAAGAATTCTGCATTTAACCAATACTTCCGTGCTAAGGCAAAACGTCGTATGAGCCTTCAGGCGTTGCCAAATGTCCTTGGACAAATCACTAATTTTCAGGAAAATTTGTGAATATTTTCCGCCCAATCTCTTCGATAATTTTATTTGTAATTTGATCTAAAGTGTCTGAAACTTTCAAGGAAAAATATTCATAACTTTCCGCAAAAATAGGCATTTTATCGGAGGAAATGCGGCAACTCTCGAATGTTCATCTACGGCGTTCTTCCATAGCACGGGAGAATAATAGAACAGCGATGTTCGTATCGGCGGTAGCACGGGTGAGAAGTAATGGCCTACCCACTAGAGGAACAGAGACGTGTAATTATACAATTAGATAGATGAGACTCAATAGACGCTCACCTCATGCTCTCTTGGAACCTACCTCACATTATCTAGTCTCATTTTCTTGATCCGTGTCCATCACCGTCAGAACGGAGGGAAATAAAATGAATAAAAACTCATTTAAGTTGGATCTCAGATTCGCGCAACTAATTCAACTTATCCACTAAACTCAAAATCCAACCCCTCCCCTCCCCCTCCCGCGCACCCGTCCTCCACCGCACACTAAGGATCCAGGGATGGATTTTTCCCCACTGTTAGGTATCCTAGTATTTTTCTCTTTTATTTTATTGAGCGTTCACCACGTTGGTAGTGTACGCTCTTTCCCGTCGTTTTCCATCGGCCGTGTTAAAATTACACCATTGGTAAGGCCTGCGTTCCCATGGGTATCGTCGCCATTTTCCGCGGCGGGAAGCAATACCTATTTTCTCAATGTTTCTAGTTACCATTTCCACTTTTTTCTCCTATCTTGTCCACTTTATGTAATCCTGGTTGGCCTGTCTTTGATAAATTTTTATTCTTACGTCTTGAAACTCAGCAAAGTACATATTATTTCATTGCTACTTCAAAGTTCCTTCAAATACGTGCCGTCGTTTTGCTAAAAAAAATTTGGGCACAAAGTACCCATTCACTTTTTTTCTCTCTATCTTCTAATGATAATTGATGATAATAGTAAAGTGATCAGATTTTTATAAAATAAAAATTACAATCCCTTTTTTTTCTACGAAACTACAATTTTGACGTTGCTTTGCCCAAAAACTGCAGAGGTGAGAAGTGTGCTGAAATGACGGTTTCACGTTTTGTGTTACGCTCATTTACGGCAAAGTTTCATACTTGGTGTTAAGTAAGTTATTAGACACGTGTACGTATAAATAAAGCAAACGCCGACATTCCGACTATATGATGTTGCCGTGCTAATAAGAAAAAACGCCGTATAAGCCTTCAGACGCGGCCAAATTTTCTTTGACAGATCACGAATATTCGGGAAAGTTTGTAGGTATTTTCCCTCGAATTTTCAAGAGAATTTTGTTCGTAATCTGGTCAAAAGTGTCTGAAAATTTCAAGAAAAATATCTATAACTTTCCTCACAAATACATGTTTTATCCGTGGAAATTTGGCAAAATTCGAAGGTTCATACGGCGTTTTTCCTTGGCACGGTGGTAGCGAGTCCACAGCATTTTCACAGAGCGCGACAGTCCCAACTCAGCGAGCGACCTAGTCTGCGCTGCCGTGCTGAGGAAAAACGCCGTATGAACATTCAAGAGTTGCCAAATTTCTAAGATTAAAACATGGATTTTTTTAGGAAAGCTTATTCATATGTTTCTTTGAAATTCTCGGATATTTTAGATTAAATTGCAAGCAAAATTGTCTGAAATATTCGAAAAAAATTATTCAAACTTATTTTCAAGTAAATTAGTCTTTTATCGAAAGAGATATGGCAACGTATGAAGGCTCATACGGCGTTATTCCTGAGCACAGCTCAGCACGCTACCGTGCTACGGAAAAACGCCGTATGAACATTAGAGAGTGGCCAAATCTCCTCTCAGAAAATAGTTATTTTTGAAGAAAGTTATGAATATTCCTTCTCGAAATTTTCAGGAACTTAAGGCAAAATTGCGAACAAAATTATGTGAAAAATTGGGAGGAAAATATTCACACATTTGCAAGGAATTTCGCGTTTTATCAAAGGAAATTTGGCAACGTCTGAAGGCTCATACGGCGTTTTTCCTGAGCACAGCAGTACGGTGCCGTGCCAAGGAAAAACGCCGTATGAGCATTCGAGAGATGCCAAATTTCCTCCGATAAACTGTTTATTTTTTAGGAAAGTTATGGATATTTTTCCTTGAAATTTTCAGAAACTTCAGAAGAAATTGCAAACAAAATCGTCTACAAAATTGAGAGGAAAATATTCATAGGTTTACTGGGAAATTCATGTTTTATCAAAGGAAATTTGGCAACGCCTAAAGGCTCATACGGCGTTCTTCCTGAGCACAGCAGCACGGTACAGTCGCGCTGGTCGTCATGCATGCTTTACACAGGGGTCGAGAGGGAATTGAAATTAATTTGATCGCCCTCCGAGTTCGCGAACGACCAAGCGTCGCTTTTCGATCGCGATACTCGATCAAGAGGCCAGAGCAGGTAAAAGAATTTGGGATACCGAATCCCGAACTCAGAGGCGAATGGGGCGATTATTGTTCTCGTTCGAAGAACGAGAGGCAGTAGCGCGGGCAAACTATTCAGTTCCCGAGATGGGATATAATTTCTGGCCGTATTGGCATCCCCTCGTAAGACAGGAGGGAATTAAAACCCGATCTCGATTGCCCTCCTCGAAAGACGCACACGGGGCTTCCGATCGAATTGATCTGGATCGGCTGAGTTTTTGCCCGCAAAGGCTCTGGACTTTACCCCTGGATTCTTTCCTCCACTGCTAGTCCGCACACGCTGGACCGCGACAGCCGATCACTCCTTCCTTTCACTTTGGCATTGTGCTCATGCGTTCTCCCCTTTTACTTTCGTCCTCTACCCTGGCTATTTTTCGCCTGTCATGATTCGTGCGTAAACTGTGGGCTTGTCGCTTTTTGACTTCTGCACGTCTAAACATCTATTCCTCATAGCTGATCGGTACATGTAATGTCCATATTTCTTCTACTTTTGTCAGGGTACTTTAGAGAAGGCTCTCTTCGAATTTTCGGCTCATTTGAAAAATTTCGGCATAAAGAGCAGGAAATTGGCTTATATTTTTTTTTTCTTAACTAAAGCTTTAGTCCTCTTAGATTTATTGAGCTATTTTATTTGAATTGCATTTTGCAAAAAGGAATCAAGAGCATTCCAATATTGCTGGGATTGTGCAACTTACATTCTTTGATATCAAATCACTGAAATCATGCAAGAAATTAAATTTACAAGCGTAATTTTTGGCTTGAATTTATAGTTTATTGGGAGTAAAGATAGAACTTATTTAGGCGATCAGTTTATATTTGTAAGGTGAAAATAGTTGCGCAATCTTAGAAACATGGAATGCTCGTGGTTCTCTCTTGCAAAATGCAATCCATTTAAAGCAATATGAACAATTGAACACATCCGAAAAATGAATGAAGAGAAAAACGCACCCCTCTCGGAATGCTAAAATTCGCACCTTATGATATAGCCCATTTTGCCGTGCTACAGACGAATGCCGTAAGAACCATTGAACCATCAGACGTTGCCAAATTTCCTTTGATGACCCGCAGATTATCGTGAAAATTCAACTATATTTTTTTACTGATTTTTCAGAGAATTTTATGAGCAATTTGATCTAAAGTTTCGAATAATTTTAAGGCGGTATAGTAGGGCCCACGAAGGATGATCCCTGAAAAATCGGGCGAATAAACGCATGGACCATGTAAATGTCAACGCTGCGAGATCGAGCACGCACATCGACGAAACTGGGTAAAAACGCCGTATGAACATTCGCGAGTTGCCAAATTTCCTCCAATTAAATGCCTTATTTTCAAGCAGAATTGGGCATATTTTCTCTTGAAATAATTTAATATTTCTGAAAATTATTTTCAGATGATTTAGAGCTGACAGCGAATAAAATTCTCTGAAAAATTGGAGGGAAAGTATTCACTGATTTCCCTGAAAATTCTTTTTTAGTCAACGGAAGTTTGGCATCGGCTAAAGGCTCATACGGCGTTTCCTTAGCAGGGTAGAATAGGTATTATATGCGAACCGCCGCTATTCCACCCCTATCTTCAGGTCAAAATTCTTAAAAGGAAGCCCTTTCGTAAAAGATCAATTTCCTGTAATTTTGCCCCAATCTCTTCGTCCATTACATGGTTGAATTGCTTGTGAAATTCTGAACTAAATGATGTTTAATTGTAATTTACACTTTTTATTTTTTCCTTTTTTCTCCTTTTTATAGCGAAGTTTAATTTTTATTTATCTCATATAGTATCTCGAACTGTAACTTCTTAGCTATTTGACAGATTTTTATAAATGAGGCCTTTTTTTACTCGTGCTTTAACAGAGAGTGAGGAAACTCTACCTAAAAACTTTTTTAGCAATTTTCAAAAAATTTTGGATCATTCTAGTAGGACGGTGATATTGTTAATTACGCGTAAGTAATTAGGGTTCTATTGTGGCTCGGCTCGGCATTGTCGCGCGAGCTCCAGTCTCGGTCCGGACGGGGGTGTCTCACTGCTGCCAGTGTTTGCAAGAAATACCCGCGGCTCAGGGATCATCCCTCGTGGGCCCTACTATAATTCAAAACTTTTGGAGGAAATTTGGCATCACTCAAATGATTATGCGGCGTTATTCCTCAGCACGGAATCATCAGCGATGCACTTTGATGTGAATGCTGAAAAGTGTAAGCGTGTCTAGGGTGGGACTTAGTTTTTTCAATCGACCAAAAAAAATGTTGCACGGTCCTAAATGGTTCTATGTAAAAAAAAACCACGGTAGCCAAAAATATTTTGAAAGATAAGAAAATTTACCCGACGCGCACACAGCCAATAGATCGTGATTTTTCCGATTGTTTGAACATTTTAACCGTCTATTTTTGATATTTTAGTGAGGGGGGTGATAGGGACTGGAC